TTCAAATACTTTAGCAGATGCATCAAACTTATCATAATTCTTGGAAGGTTTAGAGAATTTACCTAAGATGTTTCTAGGATTTTAGAACTTCTTCCCCTTTCCTCCTTGCACGAAATTCACAGTCTCAACATCCTTGCCTCTTTCTTGCTTTTGCCGAGTTTCCTCCTGAACACATTGTGCGATGAGCTCATCTATATCCCAACTCTTGTCTTGGGTATTATCAGACACCTTCAGTTTAGAGTATTTGATTGGAAGCGCCTGGAGGATCATTGTTTGGACCCAAATTTACACCATCGACCCCTATAATCAAGGCCGTTGAGTAAGCATAGTTCTCGACCGTCGGATGGAAAAGTGAAGATATTTTTGTTAAAAGATAATATTATGATTTTTTATCTTAATACTTATTTTTTAATGATGAATTATCTTTATATTTTCTTATACGAGATAAATGTGAAGCAAACTATATCGAAGTAAGCAGAACAGGTCAATTTAATTTGGGATTCTTAGCATTCAACCCGAGGATTGAGCATCATGCATTATGAGAAGAGTCCTAGCATGTAGTGGCATCAGTTGGTAACCAAGGTGGAGTCCAACTTGGAAGATTAGTTATGCCAATGTGATGCATGCATGGGATAATTATTATCAAACTTGTGCCTGCCAAATGAAGTGGATAAAGCCTGATTTTCCTAGGCTTTGGAAATGGACAGAACGACAATGCTTATCTTTACCAAAGATGGAATTGGCATGCCATCATTAGTTACGTGGTTTGGTTGAAAAGCGTGGTTAGCACCAAAGACGTCGAGTGCGATGACTCAAATTCAACACATTGGCATAATGCGATGACTCTTATTGGATAATCATCTTTGCATAACGATTATTATTTGTGGTTATTGATGGTCACAGCTGGATTTTGCGCTAAGTGAATGCTATAAATACAAGGTGCGTTGCAACAAGCAAGGGACCTCAAATTCAACACACAACTGCCCTGCGCAAACTCTCTCAACAACTGAGATTTTTATTTTCCCTTTTCGCTAACACATCTTCCGTTGGCATCAACAGCACTGTGAAAGCAATCGGTGATATCTTAAGTCGGCATAGATAGCTCTGTCACCGTAGAATCAGCCGATCTCGCAGCATCTTCCGTTGGCATCAACAGCACTGCGGCGAGGACGGTTGATTACCTATTCAAGTCTCGGTCGAGAAGGATTTCTAAATCCTTATTGGTCGAGGTCATCTCATTAGCCTTCTCGGCGAAGTGAGGTGTTACGAGTTACTACATTCGGCCCATTGGAAGCCGAATTTGATATTGAACTTCGCTAAGTTAGCAGCCTTGTCTTTAGGCTCTAGAACTCGAAGGCCGAGCCGTGTTCCTTCCTCGGCCACAATCGCAAGATCAAGAAGTCAGCAGCGTACCCAACGCAACGTCAACAAATTTTACTCCTCGGCCGAGCTCGACCGACGAGTTGGCACACCCTGCATTCACCGAAGGACGTAGTTAGCTTATAGATTACTCGGCCTGTGCGCCACGTAGGCTTGGTAGTTTTTAGGGTCAACAATCATAAAAACCAACTGTTTTTCTCCAATATGGACATCCAATGCTTTCAATTTCTCAACAGCATCGGCCATCTTCATTATGTGGTCTCGAATGGAACTAGTACTATCAATCTTATTGGTTGTCAATACGGCCATGTATTGGCTGATTTCAGCCTTCTGAGACTCCTTGAATTTCTTCTCATTTGCACTCAAATATTCAACATCTAATTCATGTCTTTTGATGCCCCCACGAACTGTATCAATCATGCCACATCCTGGAAAGTGCCACCTTGTTGGCTCTCATCCATCTTTCATGATCTGCTTTCTCTGATCTAGTACTCTGGTATGTGATTGTTGGTTTTGGAGTATCAATGGAAATGTCATATTCATTGATCGTTAGCAACAATCCAATGTCGCTTCTCCACTTCTTGTAATTACTTCCTCCAGTGAGAATTTGGATGTTGGCCAATTTCAAAGTTTTCAATGATATTGCAGATACTGCAGATGAAATCACAAACATGAACAAATTAGGTTCCTGATTTCCTTTTGCAGATTGCACATCATAACTTACATCAATAATTCATACATATAGACTTAACAACTAATAGCTGATAAGCTATTTGGACCCGATTTTACATTATCAGCCTGAGTAATCAAGTGTCGTTAAATGACAGGGTGATTATCAATTATTATTGAGAAATAATGTTGTGATTTTAGTCATGATATTATTTCTTAGTAATATATTAAATTATTTAAGCCTAATATTTGTCTCAATCCCCATTGATTTGACCATTTGGGATATTGGGATACGCACGGCAATGATGCAACTATAAAGATGATAGTTTAGGGGGATAGGCCCGGTGATGTGATAAGCCTGGGTGTTGTTTTTGAAAAGTCATGGATAATCATAAAGGATCTTGAGATTTTGTCAGATGGGTTTTGATAGAGAATGGTCTCTTAAAGTGATCCGGTTGTGTTGCATATAAAATGCAATTTAGTATGCATGCACTGTCGCACCTAGACTAACATGTTGGAAAAATAAATGTTTCAGTTGGAATAAGATGCTTTCATTTGGTAAGGTCACGTATGCGGAAGTATATAATTTTTTTTTTAAGGGAAATTAGGAGATAGCCTTTATCATATCTTAGAGATATCTTAGGAAATTAGGATTCCTCCCGACCCATAGTGAATGTTGGGTGACCTAGCTGATCCTAGCAGATGAAAAATAGGATTCTCCAAGTTCCCAAAATAGAGAACCTCTAATTTTTCCATACCAAGGAGAGCATTGTTGAGGAGATGAGTGACCTAGTGCTATGTTCCTCTAGGGTGGCTAGCCTCTTAGAGAGAAAGGGAGCGTTTGTGTTCACTCCAATTTCCTCAAAGAAAAACCCTAATGATGAGATGTTATAGAGTTGCCTTTATACCATCTCACAATGAAGTGGCAAACTTGCAATTAAGGCAAGTTCCCTACCCTTCTTTATATGGTTGAGCCTTAGGAGACTTTTTCCAAAGTAGACTAACTTTGGAGTAATGAGTAATGGATATTAGGGAGCAAGTTTGTAGGCATAGGACAAAGCTTAAAACTTTCCTAGGTAACAGTGATTTCAAAAAAATATACCTCCCAAACTTGGTGCTTGTAAAGATTTATCAATGTAATAATCAGAATACCACCTTTCTCTAACACCGAGTATTAAGCACATGATAAATCTTTTATTCTGAATTTGCCATAATGCATTGGTTGGATTAAGGATGAGAAAGTTAAGGGTTTTGTTTGGAATGATCTTCGGCTCTTAGCTTTGATGTGGTCTTTTATCTTCAAGTAAAATTTTGTTTATTTGTTCGTTTATATTGCCCCATTCTGGGTCTGAGGATTTTAGAGATCACATGTCATCACGAAGGGGCTTCCTTCTCAGTTTGAATTCCATGTCCATCCATAATGAATCTTAAATGAAAGTTTGTAGGGGCTTGATTGCCTACATGTAGTTTAGAAACACTTTTATAATCCTTTTGCAGACTCTATGTGTTGAGCCTGAACATTTTCGATTATATTACACTTAGTTGACTTGGCTAAGGCATTTCTGTGCATTCGAGCTTATTTGGAATAAAGTTCATCCTGAGGATTTCTTAGTCTGGATGCCTTTTTCAAACTTGCATTATACACATGATGCCGCATAACGTACTTGAGTTAGTACATTGGTTTGGATCTCTGAACATTCAAACCTGGCTCTACACATGATAGAAGTAATCGTCCTCAGTGTTGGAGCTTTGAACCATCCTCGGATGATTTTCGGATCATCATTTCGATTATTCCTTTGAATGGCGTAGAGCCAGGTTTGAATGGTATAACCCACAACCCTTAGGTTGTATAAACTTTCGAAGTCTGGATGGTGTGATGGACTTCAGGATCTGGGGGCTATGTCCACATGCCCGTAACCCACCTATCGTAATTGCACTTAATATGCGAAGTTTCAAAGCTGTGTGTTATTCCGGATCTGTGCTAAAGGAGATTCCTGACACTATCACTTTGAGTTTTTTAGACTTGCAATTATGCGAAGTTTCAAAGCTATGTGTTATTCGGGATTTTTAGGGTATCCCTTGCATCTCAAAAAAGAAAAAAAAACAAACAAATATGTAGTAGATGTGTGATGATTAAACTTTGAGGAATCTTTATTGATGAAGAGAATAAGATTTTGACAATGGGTGTGATGGAATCCTAATAGGACTGGTTACATATCTCTGAGAAGGAGAATCAAATCACTGGTGCTGTTTTAGTTAAAAGATGATACAAAGTATGTCTATATTGGGGATTATCTTTAACGAAGAGCTTACTAGGGTGTTAAAAAGATGAGTTCTCCATGGACTTTATCTTCGCGCAGACATTGACATTGAAATCTTTAGTAGTATCATCTAAGCTTGGGAATGTTCCACCTTTTGGTACTTGTATTTCCATCCATATGTTGCAGATTGTACGTTCCCTTACCTCTTACTCCGACAACTTTGTATGGTCCTTCCCAATTTGTTCCGAGTTTGCCTGCACGTCGTACTTTTGTGTTCTCGAAGACTTCTCTCAAGACAAGATCTCATAGTTGAAAACTTTGAGGTTTAACACCTTTGCTTTAGTATGACTGGATTTTCTGTTGGTAAGCAACAAGTAGGACTCGGGCACATTCCCTGCGCTCTTCTGCAACATAAAGGTCAAACATGAGGATCCCAGTGTTCTCTAACTCAGTTCACTTTTTAGTGTACAAGTTCGGCATTGCAGTAAATTGACAGGGATGATGGTTTCTGTTCCATAAGCCATTGTGAATGGAGTTTCTCCAGTCACTTTTTCGAGCAGTTGTGTGTTATGCCCATAAAACCCCAGGTAACTCTTCTAGCTACTTATTCCAAACTCCGTGTAGTAGTCCGTAACTTCGCAACTAGTGAGTTGCAGTCCATTATCTGTGAGTATGGTGTGGAGGATTCCAAAGCGACAAATAATGTTCTTCCAGGTGAAGGATTTACCGCTGCACTAGTAATTTGAGACAAAGGATTTGCTTTAATCTACTTGGAGAAATAGTTTGTTGTTACTATTAGATCTTCCTTGTTTCATATAGCTGTCTTTCATGGATTGACAAGATTAATGCCCTATTGTATGAAATGCTATGCCCCAGTCAAAGTGCTAAGTTCCTCCACATGTTGACCGTTTATTGGCGCTTACCTCTGACATTTCTCGCAAGCTTGGATGTAACCTATGATCTTGTCCATCTAGTTCTCTCTTATACCGATAGTAACAACTATGTCTAGCTCTGGTTCATGAATGCTTGGGGTGGTGAGGTATTCGAAAGGGATTGTCCATTCGCATGAGTAATCCATGATGGATGTGATGTTTGTTAATGCAGCGGTATGGCCATTCTTATTTTTTAGAATTTCTTGGATCTCGTATTTTTCAAATCCTTCGAGTAATGCCTTGGACTTAGTCGAGCAATGCCTTGGATTGTGAGTTGCGTAGTCTCCCTTGACTTGGTTGACGATCAACATTAAATCACAATGGATTGAAAGCTCTTTGACTTGGAACTCTATTGCTACCCTAAGGCCGGAGAGTAGTGCGTCATACTTTGTCTCATTGTTGCTTGCCTGTAATCTGAGGTTTAAGGCATGCTCGAGTATGTATCCATTCGACGTCATCAAGACCATTCTTACCCCTGTATGCATTGTAATGTGGGATTTTTCCTTATGCTGACCTAATTTCAAAATATCCATATGTTTAGGGCATCAGGGGGGCATGAGTCATCCAGAAGGGTGAAATCTGAACTTCTAGTTCAGGTAGATGGGGTCAACAATACTGGTACAAATGAAGTAGTGATGGTTTTGGCAGCTACTAACTTCCCATGGGACATAGATGAGGCATTCAGGTTGGTCCTCATCTTGTTGTATTTAAGTTTCAGACTCCTAACCGCTCTTCAAACTTTGAGTTGGAAAGAGTGGTAGGCTTAAAAAACACTTGACAATGCCTGTTCAGTCTTGATATTTCTAACCTGATGTTATTCATTCATGAGGAGGCTGGAGAAACGTTTATATATTCCCCTTCCAAATTTTCAGAGCCGTAAAGCACTTATTCGGATAAATATGAAAACTGTCGAGGTACTGCAGTTACTGATATTCTATTATGGTTATATTATGAATTTTGCACCTTAATTCTATACCTTTCTATAACTTCATTGTATTCTGTAGATTAAATTTGGACATGTGTTTCTGTTGCGGCTTAATAACTTAATATGGCTCACATGGTGTCTTCTTCTGCTATTAAGGTGGTGATACCAATTAGAAAATGAAAATAGAATAAAAGCATGTGGCATCTTCAACGGTGGGATAGCAAAATCACTAATTTCCTGGGATTTTTGGTTTTTGTTTATCATATAGATTGACTACTCTGTGCTCTAGACAATTAGAATCTAAGATGTGTCAGGGAATTCATTTTGTAATTTGAACAAGTAAAATGTCTGTAGTAACGTCATAAAGATAAGAAACAAATGGTATATTTTTTTTAATCCTAGATGAATTAAATCTAACAAATGCTTCTGATGCATCAGGTGGCCCCTGACGTAGATATGAGATTAAGAGCATGTCCAAGGATGATATTTCAAAGGATCCTGTTGCCATGTGTGACTTCGAAGAAGCCTTGGCAAAGGTCCAACGGAGTGTTTCTCAAGCTGATATTGAACGGCATGAGAAATGGATTCACGAATTCGGATCAGCATAAAGTTTATCAACTCATATTGCGGGTGATGGATTGTTGCAGTGCATGGTCGAGTTTCTGAGTGATTGTCTTGTTGTCCTTGATATTCCCATTTGAGTTTAGGTAGAAATTAGTTGGTGTACCCCAGAGTGTTGGAAAGGTGTCATAGTGTTGTGCTATTTTGTATCTGTAACCAACCGTGTATGTGTATAGAATCTGCTTTTCGCAGAGCTTATTTTAATTTTTATCCATACTAATACACTCCAAATTTCATTCAGTGATTTATAACTAGACGTTCAGTGAAAAGAACGATGCAACATCCATGTGATTTAATGTATGTGCCATCATCCAAACATTGCTCATATGGACCGATTCCCTAACCAAGACCCAAGTTGAATATTAGAGTGTGCATATCACGATAAACGAACAAACGGATTACAAAGCTAGAAATATTATTGATATCGAACACTACAAAATCGTCGAGACGACTACATAAACTCCAAGAGGCTACATTATGACTAGCTTGTTATTCATACTAAACTATAAGTTATATTTATAAAGAGCAAAACCTCAAAACCCCAATTCCCATGGGCTAGGCCCAAACTAACAAGCAAACCCAAATAATCAAATAACCATAAAATACTAATATTTTCCAAATGCATGTGTTATAATATGAATAGTCGACGTGGTTCATATTTATGTATGTAGTATTGTAGTGTATTTGTAATCTACGTGACGGTACTAGAGTCATACCGAAAAATTCTCAAGCATATAGCAAACAAAACTTCACCATCTCAACTTCTTGCTCAAGATTAGGGGTGTAACTCGGGTTGGTTGAATGGGTTAAAAGGTCAACCCAACCTAACCCAACTTTTACAATTCAGGTTCGGGTTCAGATTGGGTTTTAATCGGATTCATTTGGGTTTGGGTTTAATCGGGTTTGGGTTGCCCAACTTTTTCAAGTTTTAATCGTGTTCATGCAAAGTTCGAATTAAAACACAAGAACTACCAAAGCTAGTACCAAAAGAAAAAAAAGAGGAACACTTCATTGTCCAAAGCTAGTACCCAACTCAAGTCTTGTCCTTCAAAGCTCCTGTAGAAAAATCAAAGTGTGGCTACCAGAAAAACAATTGCTTTCTGCAACTCCATGCACTTTTCTATCATAATCCATCAAAAGTCACTAGTCAATCCATCAAAAGTCACTAGTCAATCCCTCCATGAAGGTGCAAAGGTCATTGAGAAGCATGTTGCATAGCTCAACCCAATCGGGTTTGGTTAATCGGGTTGGTTCGGGTTAGGTTGAGTTGGATTAATGATCAACCCAACTCAATCAATGAACGGGTTGAAATCGGGTTGGGTTCGGACGGGTTATAATTAAAAAAACCGGCTTCTTCAGGTTTAAAGTCGACTTGAACATGGGCGGGTTCGGGTTGGCCCAACGCAAGTTGCATCCCTACTCAAGATATTATTAAATTTTAAATTCCTCTTATTCACTACTTGATTGGATCTCAAGTTTTTAAAACTTTGATTAATTTGTTTTCCTAAGACACCTGTTCCTCGAACCCATCTTCGGAGGTGTGATCACTTGAAAGTTGAAACAACAAATTCCAAATCTTGTTTATCAAACTGATCGCCAATAGCAATTCCCAATTATCAATCGTTAAATTTATTACAAGAAGATGGAAAATTATGAAAGCTTCTTATTGTTTGTTTGTTTGTTGTTTTTTTTAACAAACGATATTATCTACATTAAAGGGGAGGGGTGAAAGCTTCTTATTGTTAGTATAGATTAATGAATTGTATGACAAGCTGTGTCGATTGAGATATCCACTGCTACACAATATTGTCAATCCCATTAAACTTAATCTTGCCTATAACAAACACATGTCTACACTAACATATAATTCAATCTAATCCAATAAAACTTAACGAAGCCAAACAAACACACTCTAAGATTACAAAATGCATCCTTTAGCCTTACCCCCACAATCTAAAATTTTTGGGCCTTTGGCTGCCACTTTTAACCTAAAACAATATAATGGAGTTAAAAAAAAGTCTTTGGTGATGTCATGCCCCAATGCAAGTGCAAGGTGGCTTAATTTCATAGAAAATTTAAAGAATGTGAAACAGAAAAAGGGCGGCAATGCGGTGTCCATTTTGAGGGAGCATAATTCCACAGTACTAATTAACTAGCTCTTATAAACTGCTTTTTCTAGTTTCTAATTAATTAAGTTTGTTTGTACCATACTTGACCAATCCCGAAACTACTGAGCACCGATCAACGTTATACCGTCAAGGACCCAGAAGAGTTTCCCTCCAACCAAGAGGCCAATAACATCGTGACACGTGTCGACATCAGCAGCCAATCATAGCAGTATTGCCGTCTTCCACCTGAGACAGTAGACTCATTTGAGGAACTGAGGAAACTGTTTGTCTTTCAACACATCTTCCAGACCGATCGCTTGCATTCTGCAGATGACTTGTACACTATTCGTTAGAAGCTAGACGAGTCATTACGTATGTATGCTGGCCGCTTCAGCCATGAGTATTCTTGTTGTGCCGAGGCAGATGACAAGACTACCCTCAAAGCCTTCACGGCAGGCCTACGTGACTGTTTCTTCAAGTACATGATCAATGCCAACACTTGGAAGACTTACTCTGAGGTGATGGCATAGGCTTACAACCATGCCTCCGCTGAGGCAATGACATATCAAGGGAAACCCCCCACAACCACCCATTATCAGCAAGTAGGGAGTGGAAGCCATATCCAACCAAATGAGAAGACCTCGATCTTCCAAACGGCAGCCGTGCCTCCCCCTGCCTTACTTAATACTTTGCCCAGTCAACAGACATATCAATCACAGGGGAAAAGGAAAGATTTCCATCCTCACTAGTCTCATTTTTGTAAAAGGAGTAAGGGACACTGTCGCGATAACCAAGGGTATTGCCATGATAATCCCCGACCCCAGGCAGTCAACATAGTGGGTCAAGCACGTCTCAGGACAACCCCTACCCTGAGGTATGAGGCATACACACCCTTGAACACCATATGCGTGGCCATTTACCCCAGCATAACACACTTGATACCGAAGCCAAAGCCGAGGCACCCAGATTACAAGCCCACGAAGAACACGGGCCTTTTTCTTCCTTTTTTATCCACCCAATCAGTTATCACCCTTAAACCTTTCACCCAATTAGAACTCATTGAAGCTCTCTCTCTCTTCTCCCTCTCACCCCGAACTCTTCTTCTCTCTGTAACTCCCTCAAACAATCCTCACAACACTCAAACGTGGCTTGAAAACCACACCATCAAACTCGTCTCACCATCACGAACACAACCGTGCCCTTGGATCATTGTTTGACCGAGTTTTGGACGTTGAACTCGGAAGGTTCGACTCGGCTCAGTTTTTCCCTACGAGTTGCAAACGAGTTACGAGTTTTAAGGAAGCCTAACGGCCTCCACTCAACTCTTCGAGGTCTTTAGTGAAGGTTTGGCAAAGCTTTGATGTGAAACAACCCAGTTTAAAGAAGTTGAGTTTTTGGCCGAACCTTTCGACCCAATTTTAGGCCTTTTCCCCGTCCATTTTTGGACTTCCAAAAGGTATCTAGTTCTACACTTTATAAGCTTCATTTTCATATAAATTTTGTGAAAAATGGTTGAGAAATGAAGAAGATATGAACACTTGATTTCCAAATTCCGACGAGTTTAGATGGTAGCGGACGGCAGCGATCGGCGAAGACCACCTCAAAAGACAACGGAATATTCCGTCACGTTAACAGAATATTCGGTCAAAGTTGACGGAATATTCTAACGACCTCAGGTAATTCCGTTGAACTCTATTAGTTATTTAAAAGAATATTTCGTCAAACTACTAAAATATTCCTGATGCAAGTCACGGCCTTGCCTGCGCATGGTGGCGTGTATGGCTATGCCTTAGCCGATTCGTGGCGACGCGTCAGACCTCCAATTAACCTTTTGTCGATTTGTGTAGGTCCGTGACGTCGAGTAGGTTGATTTCGTATATTCAAACCCTATGTTTGAGCAATCTATGGAGGTTTTATTTAAGTTTCTGTTTATGTGTTATTAAACTAAGTTAATTAGTAATTTCATATATAGGGGAAACATATCCCGATGGCATACGGGGTAAAGCAAGGATCGGAGGCTTTGTTTCGACTGCGTAACTATGAGTGGGTCATTTCCTTTTATAGTATATGCATACTTGCTAGTTTCCAATTATACTTTTGCCTAGCTTAGACTAAAGTTACATGAAGTAGCGAAATGACGAAATTTAGGAAATTATTCTTAATCCTATAAGTTCACAGGTATGCATGAGATACCATGATTATATTTTACAGCAATGATTAATTAATGTTAGAAGAATTGTTGTGCTGTTGTGAAATGCTAAAATAATCCTACATGATGCGCAGGTAAGTTACTTTGTTGACTAGAATTATTTAATTGTTATGGCATGATTATATTTATGTTATTTGCTCATCATTGCTGCACCCTGGTGTTAGTACTCACCGTAGGGCCAAGGCCAGTCCTTCATGTGTATGTTCACATTCGCATAGTTCGCTCGCCTTGGATCCAAGTAGGTGCCAGTCCTATCGTACAGATTGCACTAGGCAATTCCAACTCGTATGTGGCCGCGCTTCGGTGCCTGCCTTCACCTGATCGTAGTACTAGAGTGCATTAATTACACCTAATCCTATTCATTTTAGAAATTATATGTATGAAGTCGTGTGTCAGCATAGGTTGATGAGCATTCGTCATGATGTGTTTACTGTTTTGAGATTATGTGATTGCGGTCACCTTATGCTTACCTTGATAGCTGTACTTTATTGATTTTCTTGAGCCTTTGTAGGCTATGGTAATTATTTTCTTATTATATATAGTACGTATATTTTGGAAACTATACTTGATTTTATAGCAAGGGGTTATAATGTTTTTGAAAAGGTTTTTACAAAACGTTATTTTCTGACCCACTCAACTTTGTTTTTCGCCCTTCCAGGTTTAGTAGTTGTGCTTACGTGTAAACGAGGATTCTAGCAAATCTTAGGAGATGGTTATCTTCAGTCGTATACTATTTAGTATGCTATCATATACTCTGACATCACGTGTGAAATGGGTTCAATCCCGTGCACTCTTTTGATTAGGCACATTTAGGTTTAAATTTATTCACAACATTTTTCCACTACACTACACTTTATGGCTTCGTTGCCCTCCAGGTGTCGACCAGCACAACTCAATTCAAGGTCCAAGTGGACATTCCGGGTTGGGGTGTGTCACC